TGTCCTTGGGTAGGATAACATTCACTGAAAATATGAAAAGATTTGGTTGAATTCTTACAGCAGTAGAGCTTTATACTTCTGACCATTTTTTAGGCGATTTTTGGTCATTTTTGAAAAAAAAACAAGGAAGGGTGGTGAAATCCCCCCAGTTTGACCAAATTTCCTTAAACTCAGACTGAAGCAGTTTTGGGTGGACCCCTTTAAACTGGCAAAGTTTCATTGAAATCGGTGAGATGGCTTGTGCCACCCCCACCTGGTCCTATCGTGCACTCTTAAAAAGTGTTTCACTGTCTGAAAAGACCCGTTTTGTCATGGAGAGCGTGTACTGAAAGTTCCTTGTCACAGAGTGACTCGAAACAACTTTTGTCTTCATATTGATCACATTTGAACACATTCTGAATCCAATAGTTGTTTATACTGTAAATACTGAGTTTAAAAACTGCAGCGTTGCTGTGTTTATATACTTAAGCACCACCGTCAGTCTAAAAAGGCCAGTTTTGTCAAATCGTGTCTCTTATGAACTCTCTGACACAGTGACTTGAAGTAGCTGTTGCATTAATTTGTGTGACATTTAAACATATTCTGAAGAAAAAACCCAGGGGACACTGGAGACATCGGTGAGCGTCTCTTCTAGATTTCATCCCCAGTCCAATGGAGGCTAAAGCAGGAGTTGGAGACGGGCCTCTGCCGCTCATCTTGGTTGAATATACCCACAACAATCTGCCCTGCTCCACCACCAGCCTCTCACCCGTCCGGTTTGCCTATGGTTACCAACCAGACCTGTTGTCTGCCCTGGAGAACGTGGTTGAGGCCTATCTGCCCTGGCTCTGGTTTGCCCCCAGGAGAAGGTGGGCAACAAAGCAAAGTCCGTCTTTGCACAGAGTCTCGTAAGTTGACTCCTTATGACACTCATTTTGTTGGACCCTTTCCCTGTTTCAAAATGCATTATTACCTCTGCTGTGAGATGGAAGCTCCTTTGATCCATGAGACTCACCCCATGTTCCATGTCAGCCATGTCAGGACAGAGTGTTGCTGTTTTTGATGCTCCTAAATAGGATAGATCAATTTTGTCAAATAGTGTGTCATGAATTCTCTGACACGAAGGAACTTGAAACAGCTTTTGACTTCATAGTTATATATTTGAACACATTCTGAAACAAAAGTTTGTTTCTAAATCCTTAGTTTAGAGAAAGACAGTGTTGCTTTTTGATATGGCCTTTATAAGAAATGGAGCTTTTCGACAAGTAAAGGACCATCATCCATTACAAATACTGGTTTAATGCAACAACAACAAAAACAGACGCAGTAGTCATAAGAACTACAAAAACAACAAAACATGTATATTGGATGCATAATTGTAGTGGCATAAGGAGAGAAATGCAGTTGTCAGATGCAATTCATGTAACTTGTCAGATTATACTAGTCAGCATAGGGAAACCAAAATGTTACAGTTACCATAACTACATCTGGAGTTAATATGGTGTAAGAGAATGGAACTGGGTGTTATACATTTTATTTGGTAGAACAATAGAAGTCAGAGTAGGTAGTGAATGTTCTAGCATATACTCAGTTGAGAATGGAACCCTAAACTAAGGACAGTGTTTGTAGTCCACTGCTGTCAAATATAAAAGTAATGATCCTTTCCAGCGACCTGTCCAGGGTGTCCCCTGCCTTCGCCCTAAGTCGGCTGGGATGGGCTCCAGCCCCCCCGCGACCCTGATGAGGATTGAGCGGTGTATAGAAAATGGATGGATGGATGGATCCTTTCCAGCCTCCGTCCAGGAGGTGGCGGTACTGCGCCTTGAGGCTGCTTTGCCATCCGTCAATGAATAAAAAGAAGTAGACGGAGCTTCTCATGCTAGCACAGTTGTGTCCATGCTAGTAAAGTAGTTCTGTTTTATTACGATGGCAAACAGAACTGTTAAAGATGCTAACAGCATACATGGGACTAACCCACAGTATCTGGTGGAGAAAATCATCCGAACTCGAATCTACGAGTCTAAATACTGGAAGGAGGAGTGCTTCGGTCTCACCGGTCAGTAGCGTGTTAAACAGCCTGCTAACGTTAGCTTCCTGTCGGCTAATTTTAAATAAGCGACAAACCGCCGCGTGTTTACGTGAATTTAAAAAAAAATCATTAATGTGTGAAAGAAATGTAGCATTTATAACAATAGGTACACCCTATATAGTACTCAATTACGCTGTTTTTTTTTTCAACGAGCTGAAGCAGTATTTGTTTACTGTATGGTAAGTAGCTTCACCCTATTAACTAATTAAAGTTAATAAGGTAAAGCAAATTATCTTACCACCGCCCAAAGTTAGCTGTCTTCAGTGGGGATTTTTGCCTGACCAACAATGGACACCCTAAATACAAGCAATTTGCATCATTGTGATTGCACCATTTCCTCAATAACTGTATCAGGGTATTTGCAGGTCGTAAAAAGTCCTTAAAAAGGTCCTAGAAGGCATTTAGAAAGCCTTAATGTCGCGTTTAAAGGTCTGGAATCAGTTTATGAGCCTGCTGTGTATAGTGACATGAATTACAAAATAATCCCTGTGTGATAAAAAAAAAAAAAAAAAAGCCTGTATTATCCCCCGATTTCATATACAGTCCAGATATGGACCTTCACTTAATCAGCTCTATTGTGATGGTTCGACCGGCATCTGTTCATCCCTCCGCCCAGCCATTATTTACTGCTACACAGGCTAGGTATTCGAACTGCAACTTTATCTACTGTCAAGTAATAAGGCTATTATTTGCTCAGTTAAACATTTGGTATGCAAAATGTCAAAAATACAGAAAAAAATAGAACTTCATCCAGTAGGTCATCCAAGCTGAAATCTACTTAGTGGTGTTTTTTTCCCCCCTTTATAGCGAGTGTAGCAGTACATTACGCTAATAAGAAAGTTATAATGCCATAAATAATAACCATAAGAAGAAAAAACATAACAAAACTTACATTTGAGAAGTAGAGATCATTCAATTTCCTTGTCATCCCCACTGTTTTTTATTGATATTTGTAGTACCTTGAGTGAGTTTATTAGGTGAGTTTAAAAGGTGTTAAACTGTGGTATTAAAAAATTCTTTAGAGGTCCCAAGCTTTCCTTGGTGAATACTGCAGAAACTCTAACAGTAAACCTGAAGAAAATAAAGAAAAATGAAAGAAAGAAAGAATAAAAGCAGTTTCCTTTTTTTTTAATAGCTATAGCCATCCATCCATTATCTATACACCGCTTAATCCTCACTGGCGTCGCAGTCAGCTGGAGCCTATCCCAGCTGACTTAGGGCGAAGGCAGGGGACACCTGGACAAGTAACCAGTCTGTCACAGGGCTATACAGAGAGACAACCAAGCACACTCACATTCACACCTACGGACAATTTAGAATCACCAATAAACCTTAACATGTTTTTGGACTGTGTGGGAGGAAGCTGGAGAACCTGGAGAGAACCCACGCTGCACAGGGAGAACATGCAAACTCCACGCATAAACATCCCAGGCGTCCTAACCGGGACGCGAACCGGGGATTAGCTATAACCAACACATCTTGAATATTTTTAAATGTTCGATAATGAAGTGATTAAAAAAAGAAATCTGTTTTGTCCATTAGCAAAGTTTTGTGACACAAACTCACAAATGTGCAGTTAAAAGGCTTTTAGCACATTTTTTCACAAGTTGAAATTTGAGACTATGTTTAAACAATATCTCAGGAACTGTTACAGGTTAAAGCCTGAAATTTTTTTTACTGATGTTTCTCATCATGCCTTTGATTTTTATGATTTTCCTGATTTGGGGAAAATGTGAACCTGTCATTCTTATCGCAAATTAAAAAAAAAAAAAAACTGGCAATTTAAATTGCAATTTGATTTTTATAGTCAAACTTCAGTTTAATATTCACTGTGTAACAGATTTAAAACGTGAATAAGAATTACCACAGGAGATGCCGGAAAAAGCATTACACAAGGAAGATGGCAACAATTTGTAAAACCTTTGACAGGACAGTTTAAAGCCTGGATCAGACATGCTGCAAAATGTAGAAAGTGTAATCATTAAACAGTGAGACAGGACTTGTGTCAGCAGAACCACGGTGTGCGTGCCTGAACCACATAACATTACAGCATTTTTAAAAAAATTTTTTATTAAGCACTCCATTTATTTCTTCACTTGCAGCCTTTGTGATTTGCTTAAATTATAAATAAAACTTGTCCTAAAATGCAATTTTGATTTGAAATCCATTAAGTGGACAGCGATGGTTTGGACCCTTACTTAGTAATTCTCCGTTAGACAACAGTAAATGTTAAACTTTGTATCAACAGCTGTTTTTTGTGCTTTTTCTGGTGCTTAAGTGTATGCATGTTTTGTCATCCACAGCTGAGTTGGTTGTCGACAAAGCTATGGAGTTGAAGTATGTTGGTGGAGTTTATGGTGGGAACATCAAGCCCACTCCCTTCCTCTGTCTCACCCTTAAGATGCTGCAGATTCAACCTGAAAAAGACATAATCGTCGAGTTCATTAAGAATGAAGATTTCAAGTGAGTTTCCATGTGCAGGGGGAAGGAAACTGAACACTCATGTTGTCTTTGTTTTCTTTAACCAAGCATACGAGATGAATAGTTCATCCAAGACACATCTCATATATTGATTTAGTTATTAAACAAATGGGAAAGCCACTAATTTTATGGCATTTACTTTTAGAAATGGCATCTGTGGTCTTGCTCCCTGAAGGTGAAAGTTTTGTTTAAGAAACCATATCATGAAAAAGATGTTTTTTCAGTATCACAGGGAATCGTGTAAGCCAGAAAGAAAAAAAGGGTATGAATATCCAAGAAAACCTTCTGCCAGGTGATGGACACTGCTGTGCTCCCACTGTGTTTTAATCAGTAAGAGCTTCTTGGGGTGCAAAGGATATTTTAAAATTGAACAAACTGTTTAATATATAGGGCTTTCTAAACAATACCAACATTGTACAGGTGCACTAAGGCCTGTACTGTGTGGCAGGTTTTAGGGTTAGCAAGGTGTAACACTTGGTTTTCAGGGACTAGAGCGCAGATTCACTTGTTACCGCGGTTTCTCGCGATGGCAGCACTTGCTGACTCCGGAGCAGGTTATGTTCAAAATAACAGAAATAGAAATCACTGTTCTCGACTACTGGAACTCTTGAGAACTTTCATGCCTCCAAAACTGTCCAACAGTGAGAGGGCTGCAGCTAGAAGAAATAGCTAAAATTGCCTTATGAATGCAGTTGAAATTGAGAATACTGAATTCCTCCTCCACATCACCATAAAAATTGTTTTATTTTTATTACTCAATTATTTATTCTTATATAATTAGTCTTTTTTATGAGTAACATAAAGGATATATAAATTTAATTTTGTTATACTATTTTGTGAGGCATGATGATATTTAAATTGAATCTTGAATATAATCACTTGGCTTCACTGTGGTTGTTTGGTTTAGTGAAGCCAGAGTGATGTATGATGTATGGTAATGTAATAGCAGACAAATTCTTTCGTAATAGTAGCTGATCAAAGTTTTCAAACAACTTTTTTTTTCTGATTTCTCAAACAATGAAACTGAAACCTCAGGATTCAAACTGAGGACAGCTGCAATTTACCAAAAATATTTAACTGCTTAGCAGATAAACTTCAATAAAAATACTGTGCTGTTCTTTCATGTGCATATCTGCACATTTCTCTCTCTCTCTCTTTGGAGGTACTATACTACATTTATTAAACTCATAGAGAATAGTTCTTAACAGCTGAAAAAACAAACTGACTTCAGGTCCTCTTAATGTTAATATTGTGTGGAAAAATCCTTCTCTAAATCATTTCACACAGTTTGAAATACCGCTGCTTGTGCGTACCTATCTGTTAGTGTGATGGTTCAGCTCAGAGTACTGCCATGTTGGAAGGAATGAATGGAAATGTCACTAAGTCCAACCAAGTAAGATTGCCATGTTTTATATGGAAGCGGGACCAGGGTGTGCTTTCAGATGTGAAGCTGACATGTTCAGTTTCTGTGGGATAAACAGAACAGAGTGCATGTCTGAAAGGGACTTTGTTCTTGAGTCAGTTGTTTTTCTGGCCCGATCCCTTTGGGTCCTGGCAATCTTGTGAATTTTACTTTGACACGTACTACTTACCTAGTCATTGTTGCAGACCATGTACACCCAGTCGTGGAAACAGTATTCCATGATGGCAGTGGCATCTTTTAGCAGGATCATGTGCCCTGCCACACTGCAACATGTTTATGACAAAGACTTCAAGATGTTGACTCGGCCTCCAAATTCCCAGATCCTTGAATCAGTGGGATGTGCTAGAAAAGTAAAGTACTTGGAACTTACAGGACTTAGAGGATCCACTACAAACGTCTTGTTGCCGAATACCAAAGGACACCTTCAGATGTCTGGTAGAATTCATGTCTCATCAGATCATAGTTTTGGTAGCACGAGGGGAACCTACTCAATAACAGGCAGGTGGTTGCTGATGAGCGCATATACACAATGTGACATTTGAAAATACCATTTGTGCATGAAGAAGTTCTTATTTATCAAAGGTTGCATGGAAGTTATCATAAAACACTATGGGAGCACAGCATTGAGTATGTAAACTTTTCACTACCATGAAATCCTATAACTACATTGTAGTTTTACATCTAACGTATAAAGATAAATCTTTTTATTTTGTCAAAATAAGTAGACAATGGAAGTTGAAGGTTGTGTAAAAAAAAAAAAAAAAAAAAACCTTGTTTCACTGAACACATGTCCATAATGTATGGAAAGAGTAACAGACAGAAGTAACAGAATGTTTTCTCTAA